GCACACCCATGCGCACACGACACACAACACACGTGCACACAGACACGCGCACACCCACGGACACATGACACACAACACACACGAGCACACAGACACGCACACACTCGCACACATGACACACAAAACACGTGCGCATGACACACAACACACATGTGCACAGACACGCGCACACACCCACCCATGTGCACACGACAACACACAAGTGTGTACAGACACACACCCACCCATGTGCAATGACATAACACACGCTTACACAGACATGTGCACATCACATGCACACGACACACAGCACACACTTGTACATAGAATACGCACACCCACACCCACTCACAACACATGTGTGTAAGACACACACATCACAACACACACGTGTACAGACATGTGCACACACATGCACACAACTGACATCACACGAGCACACAGACACATACACACCACACACAACACACATGTGCACACACATGACAGAGACACACATACACACAGCACAACCACAGACACACGCCACTCACACACAGACACACGAGCACGCACACACGCACACACAGCCTGCATGTCACAGGAACAACTCGCCCGGCTCCCTTGCGTTGATGTGGACACTGACCTTGAGGACGACCTTGGGGGTGGCCAGCACGGCAGACTTCTGCTTGGCCAGGATGTCCTTGGTCTCCCTGACCCGCGCCGTGACGAAGAAGTGCAGGGTCGCCTGCTCCAGCAGATGGCCCATGTACTCGCCCGCCGTGACCAGCACCTTGTGCTTCTTGGCTGTGGACACAGCGGTGGGTCAGGGCGGCTGGCCCCCTGCGGGCACTGCCACGGGGCGGATGGGGCTGGGCAGCAGCCTGCGGCCGGGAGATACGGCAGCCCCACGCCGGCCACGCTCCCGTATCCGGCGTGTCTCAGGCAGCCCCGTCCTGCCCCGAGCAAGGTCAAGCCGGGGGCCTCCCGCCGGCCAGCGGTGTGGCCCCTGCACGTGCTGCAGCAATGCTGGGACAGACCAGGGAGGGCCCGTGGGGCTGAGGACCAGAGTCCTCTTGGGGTGCCGGCTGTAGGGGGCCTCACAGCCCACCCACCAGCGGGTCCTGCAGCCCCTGGCTGGAGCCCCGGCGGGGCAGGCTGGGGCCGGCCTCTGTCCCCATGCACGGCTCACGGTGGAAATGTCCACTGTGTGGACCAGCTGCCTGGGTCCCTCCGCCGGCCCCTTCCTGCCGGAGGCACGGGGGCCAGTCCCACAGACTCGACCCTCGGGGGTGTTTGGTGACCTCTGGGGACGCTTTTGGTTGTCACGACGTGGGTGGTGACCGGCGTCCGCTGGAGAGGGGCCAAGGATGCAGCTAAGCACCTTAAGAAGCAGGGGGCGGCTGGGTGTCCCAGAGCTGAGGGCACCAGGCTCCGCCCAGGCCCCTGCCTTGGCCCCGCCCCACACCAGGTCCCGCCCACTCTGCCCCGCCCCCAGCCCTGGCCCCGCCCCCACCTCTGCCTTGCCCTGCAACCCCCAGGATGCTCACCCATCCCGACGGCTACTGGGTGGGCTTGGTCCCTGGGATGGCCCTCTGGAGCTGCGACCTCGCCTTGGGTGTCCACCCCCTCTCCCACGCCGTCGCTCTGCCATTGTCAATGACCCACTTACACGGCCCTCCCGGGGCGCTTCCTCCAGGCCCCCCGTAAGGAACTGTCAGACACGCTGTCCCCCGTGGGCGCAGCGTCGGAGGTGCAAAGGGGCTGCGCCCCTTCCCCGGGTGTGGGCAGAGGCACGCAGGTGTGCATGGACGGGCAGCAGGCGACGGCGTCAGGCCTCCTGGGCGGCAGCAACCAACGCTCCCCGGGGCCACTCCAGACACCGGCCTCAGCGCGGGTCCTGGGGCGGGGGCGGCCGGGCCCTGCAGGTCCCTCCGGCCCCCGTGCGGGGAGGCCCCGCCTGGGCCCTCGGGGAGAAACGTCCTCCCCGCGGGCTCCTGAGCCTCGGATCAGTCCTCCCGAAATAGCGCCTTACGTAAGTGCTGTGTTTTGCCGCCGCCACAGAAATTGCTCTAGATAAAGTTTATTAAACGTGGCGGGAGAAGGCGGGGGGCGGGGGCCTGGTGAAACCCCGCGACACGGCGGCTGCCTCCCGGCTTCCCAGCGCCGCTAAGTATAGCCCGCGGAAGCGAGGGCGTCTGGGCGCGGAGGCCGGGTGACTGGGGCCCCGCCCCCACAGCCTCGCGCTGCAGTCACCCATCTGGGAAACATCCTCCTCGCAGACGGAGGCGTTTCTGCAGCAGCCGTCCGGCGCCCGGCTCGCCAGCCCGCCGCAAGCGGGCGTCGGGTGGCCGTGAGGCCTTCCCGCCCTCCTGCGCCAGCCCTCTCCACCCCGCAGGGTGGCGCTGCCGCCTCGCCCGCCTGTGTGGGGCTGGGCAACCTCTCCCCGCAGCCAGGAGCTGCTGCCCCCGCTTGCCCTGGGCATGGGCAGCCGGGCAGTCCTGAGCGGGCAGGCTGGCGGCCAGCTCCGTGCCAGGGAGACGGGGCGCCAGGGGAGGGCGCGGCCAGGCTGGCGTGGAGCTCCTGGCTCAGCCCCTATGTCAGCATGTAGTGCCCAGCTCCGCCTTGCCGGTTCCCTCCCTGGCCTGGGCTCAGGCTCAGGCTGCCCGCAGCGACCTCATCCTGCCTGCACCCCCGTCTCTCGCTAAGCTGCCGCAGCACCCCCTTCGCTCCCAGCGACCTCCAGCACTGCCCCTCTGGTCTGTTCCCGCTGTGGGGCAGCGCCTGGGAGCCTCGGTGGGAGCGCGCCCATGTCCGCACAGACCCGCAGCCGCTGGACCCCGAGCGGGCGCCCCCTTGGAGCCCAGGCCCGCTGGGCCCCGCCCCGCTTGCCGCCTTCACCCCCAGCTGGCCTGTGTGTCGTGCACTGGCCACAGGACCTTTGCACGGATGGTTCTCCTGCCTGGAAAGCTGGCTCCCGCTTTCTGTTGGGGCGCCCGTTTGAGGGGCTGCAGCCCCTGCTCAGCACACCCCCGCCCTGCAGCACCTCCTCCCAGTCCCTGGGGGGTTTCTCACCAGAGCACGGGTTCTGGGGGGCAGCGCCCCACTCTTCCCCACTGTGTCTCCAGACCGAATGCACCAGCACTAACGAGTTTGGGGAGTGAATGCACCGCCCTGCTATGCGGGGGCTTGGTCCCCGCTTACAGCGAGCTCAGGTTGCCCCAAGATACCCACACACCCGGTGCCGTCGTCGCACCCCTCAGCCGGGTCATGCGAGACCCAGCTGGGGGATGCAGCTGGGGCCTTTGCATGGCACCGCCCGGGCCACCAGTTTCCAAGAAAAACACGCGCGACCCCTAACCGCGGCTGGGGAGACCACGTCCCCCAAGTCTCGGGGTTCTGGGCAGGGGCCTCAGGACTGGCTTCCTGTGTCTCCAGGGACAGCCCCGGGGGCCTCAGCAGGCACGGCGGGGTTGGGGTGGCCATCAGCCCGCAGGGCCGGCAGCCGGGGATCCTCACTCCTCCGGGGCTCTTGGCCACGCGCCTGGATCTGGCCTCGCGGCCGGCGCATGCGCTGTTGTCGCCGGGACACACACAGCGCAAACGCAGCCGAGGCCAGCGGCACCGGGCGACCCTGACTCTGCCTAAGGTGGTTGGAGTTTTCCGGAGAGGGGATGCGGTGAGGGTCGTCTGGAACCTCGCAGGAGCCCATAGGGGCCCGCTTGGGGGCGAGCTCGGGTCAGCGGGGCTCCGGGCCCCAGCAGCACAGCCTGCGAGTCCAGCTCCCGCTCCAGCCAGGACATGGCCTGAGATGGCCCCAGGGCGGGGCATAGCCTCCTCGGTGGTGACCACACAGGCCGGGTCCAGCCTGCGCCCCCCACCTCCCCTGGAGTGGACCAGCTCTTCCCTCCTCTGCTGGGAACCTCCCCTCCCTTTCTGCTCACCCCACGGCGATGGGGCAGCGGCTGGCCGGTGACCCCCAGCGAGGGCGTTTCCAGCAGGCCTGACCCCGGGCCGGCAAGCAGGGGTGAGCTCAGGATGCCGCCACCCAGGGGCTCCACTCAGCACAGCCCCGAGGTGAGAGCCGGCCTCCCCCAGCACCTGTCTGTGGGTCACGCCCCGACCCCCAGACGCTCGGCCTTGCGTCATGCGGCGTCCGCCCCGCCCGGCCCGCCCCACACGGAGACCCTCCCTGCCGTGAGCACCCTCGTCCACCTCTGGGGGGTCACAGCGGTCACAGTGGGGCTGGTCACAGCAGGACAAACGCTCCTGCCACGCGGCCCCCCAAGCCTACAGGGCGGCTGAGCCTGGCCACCTCCGTCCTGCGCACGGTGCCCGCAGGGCTGGCTCCAGGCGAAGCCCACGGGGCGCTGGGCCCGGGCCCGCAGCCTGGAGGTAACGCCCACGCACTTTAATCGCCCGTGACTTC